AAAAAGTAAGCAACCTTGGATTCACTACTGCCGGCTCCGGCTGGGTTAAAATATTTTTGGGCGGTTTAAATCACCACCACAGTGAGCCCAAAAAACAAAATGAAACTTTCCCAGAGGAAATTTGTCACACCTTTTGCGTCATTATGTACTGGAGTGTGATAAAAATTAATAATTTAAAAACAATCACTCAGAAATGTTCAAGAAATGGCCAAAGTTTTACCCACGGGTATATTGCGGGACCATTTTGGAGAAATACCCTGACTTTGCTAGTGAAAAATGAAGCATTACCACTGTATGGGGTTGTGTTTGTGGGCATGCATGTGGGTGTGTGGGGGGTGTGTGTGAGGGGTGTGTGAGGGTGTGTTGTGTGTGTACTCCCCTAGTTGGGGTTTTTGCGGGGGTCGAGTCCGAGCCCCTTGCCCCGCCTCTTCATGATCGCTACTGGGTCACTCTCCCTAAAGCCGGGCTTTATCATACCCTGAAAAAGCTATGTATGGACCCCTGCCCCCACTACTCGTTTCCCCAAACTTTTCCCCTTTATGACTACTTTTGGGGCTGAAGAAATACTTCCAAAAATCCCTGTGATTCATTGTTCTTCAGTTTCCAACTGTGCCCCCTTTTCTGGTCCAATCTCTGGAACATCCTGTCTTTTCCACCTTGTCAATTCCTCTCATACTTTGTTTCTTTATCTGCCCCCCCATCTCCCCTTCCTCCGTGTCGTCAGGTTGTTTCCTTAACCTCCCTCGTGGACATACCTCTTAGCTCTGGGACTAGTTTTTGTTCAAACCTTGCACCTTTCTCTATTTTCTTTACGTGTTTGGCTAGGTGTGGGTTAAAAACTGGTCCCGCATACTCCAATAGGGAAAAGTATACGGTGTACGGGGTCCAAAACGTTCCTTATTAAGATGTCGGAATGCTGTTCTGGTTTGCTAGGCGCCCCCTTTCTGCAGCATTTTTTTTGGGTTTTTTGGGGCTTCAGGAGATGTGCCTGGTGTTATACTCACCCCAAAATCTTTTTCCCTTTAGTGAGGTTTGTAGTCCTGACCCCCTTTGAGTACTCCGTCTGCGGGTTCTTTGCCCTTCCCCCCTCTTCTGACTTTGACTTGGTGGGGGTTGAACTCCAGGGGGCCAATTTGGGCCAGGTCTGCAGCCTTCCGTCCCTTTGTAGTTCTGCCCGGTCTTCGTCGGTTATTCTTCTCATCAAATTCACGTCACTGCAAAAAAGGGACACCCCAGAGTCATTTTCCCTTCCGTATGTCGTTCACAAAATTTCCAGAAACAGCCTGGTCCTAGGCTGACCCCTGCGGGGACCCCCTGGCACAGGGCCCACCGACACCCCGCCACGTCCTGATCCTGCGTCTTCCTGACAAGTATTCCCCCGATCCATTGTAGTGCCTTCCCTGTTATCCCTGCTTTTTGGGCCTCCATTTTTGCACCAATCTCTTGTGTGGAACTTTTCAAAGCCTTCTTGCAGTCCAAAAAATGCAATCCCCCACCCCTCTCTCTTTGTCTTACTGCTGTCACCAGTCATAGAACTCCAGTAGGTTTGTGACACGGGTTTTTCCCGTCCCAAAAACCATCGGGCTGTTTTGATGAGATCTTTCCCTTCTAGGTGTTCCACCACCTTTTAAAAAAATTTCCCCATGATTTTGCATACTTACATGTCATGACACTGGTCTGTAGTTTAATGTTTTCAGTCTGTTCTTTTTTAAAGATTGGGACACATTTGCTGTTTCCATCCCTCGGGCAATCCCCGTTTCGATAGATGTTTGAATTTGTTGTTAGGGAACACATAGGCCTCTGCCCCCTCTCTCAATACCCATGGGGAGATGTTATTGGCCCTTCCCTTTGAGGTATCTAGCTCACTCAGAAGCCCTTACTTCTTCCTGGTTGTGTGCACTGTGTCCAGCATTTGGTGGTGTCCCCACCTCTCCGTTTTTGGAGTCCCTTCTGTCTCCTCTTGAACACTTCTTTAAATCTCTTTTTGAGTTCTTCACATACTTCACGGTCACCTTTGTCTTCCTCCTCCTTCCTTAGCCTGATTACCGGGTCCTTGACTTTTGTTTTCCCTGATGTGGCTGTACAACAGTTTCGGGTCAGATTTGGTTTTTTCGCTCTATGTCATTTTATTTGTCTTTGGGGTCCCCTTTTTCTGTGATTTCTTTTTTGGCTTACGACTGTTCTCCTTTTCTCCTGGGTCCTTTGCCTTCTTTTTTCTTCCATTTCCCCCCGCCACTTGGTTTTTGCCTCCCTGCACCTTTTTGGGGAAAAAATGGGGTCATCCGGCTTTTTTATTACTCCGTTACCCTTTGGGGACAAAACCCCTCTCAGCCTCCTTGCATTTGTTGCACATATTCCATCATCTCATTAACTGGTTCCCCGCCCGTTCTCTGTCCCACTGAACCCCGTTCAGGTAGTTCTCATTCCTGTGTAGTCCCCTTTTTTGTGTTTGGCTTCATTCGTCCTGGCCTTCCTGCTTCTCCCTCCATTGTGCTCTACTGTGTATTCGAAGCTTAAAACCCAAACATGGTCACGGGCCCCCAAGGGTCTTTAAATATGGATGTCCTCGATATCTGCACTACTAAAGGTGAATACTAAGTCCAGCCTTGCTGGTTCATCCTCTCCTCTCTCCTTGTAGTGTCCCTTACTGTTGGTACATGAAGTTCTCCAGTACCACCTCCATCACTTAGCCCCCCATGTATTTTGGGGCCCCATGTGGGTCCAAGTTCTCCCAATCGATCTCCTTGGGTTAAGTCACCCATGTCAGGAGCTTTCCCCTGCATGCATGAGCTCTTCTGGCCACTCTAGCCAGTGTGTAAACCATCGCTCTATTGCTTCGTCATATCTTCCCTTGGGCCTCCTGCTGTTCTGTGGTGGGTTATACATCATGCTATTACCACCTTGGGACCTCCAGAGTGAAGTGTTCCCACTGTAATCACTTTCTTCTCCGCTATCTCTCCTTCTCCAGCTCATCAAAATTCCAGCGTTTTTTTGATCAGCAACCCCATTTCCTCCCCCCCCCTGTTCCCTCTGTCTTTCCTCAGGATTTGGTATCCCGTTGGAAAGATGGCATCTGTTATCATACCTGTAAGCTTGGTTTCTGTGAGAGCTATGATGTCCGGTGTGCTTCTTTGACTCTTTCGTGCCACTCCTCCCCACTTTTTTTGTTATTCCATCAGCGTTTGTGTACCTTACCTTCAGTTTCCTTCCAACACTGTGGTTTGGGGGCCTGTGAGGGGGGAGACCTGGTGGCATTACTGTGGGATTCTATAGCTCGGTGTTGGGTGGAGGCTGTGGGTATGGATTGTAGTTGTGTTGGGATGGTGTGATAGGTTGTATGGTTCTGAGAGTAGTTGTGTGTGTGCTTGCCCTTGCTGTTCTGTCCTGCTCTGACTGACCTTGCTGGTTCCCTCCTTGTCTCTTTTCCTAGCTCCTTTCGCTTTTTTGTCCTCTTCCCTCAGTGCTGTCGTTCTGATTTGTTCTGTCTCTGTCTAGGAACACCCTCTTGTACTCTTCCCAGTTTTCAATCGTGGTTTCTCTTGGGGATCCTGTTCCGCACTGTTTTCCGTCCCGAGAATCAGCTTGATTGGGGCGTTTTTTTCCCCTTCGAGTACCCCCCTATTCTCTGAAAATTTTACAATCTCGTCCATCTCTTCACCTATTTCCGTGATGAATTTTCTCAATCTCCTTTCTTTCTTCCTGCTTCCTTTCAGTGTGTGTCCCTTTCCTCTCTCTCCCGAAGCCCATGGATAAACACTGATTTTGCCCTTTTTTTTCCTCCCATTGCCTCACCCTCTGTGACTCTGGATCCCGCCTGTATGTGGTCAGTTTCTCCCTAGATTTTTCCAGTGGCTCTTGATAGCCTTGTTGTGCCTCAGCATTCGACCCATCACCCTCTCCATCTGCAACCAGTTTATCTTCCCTTTCACTCCTTGGTCCTCCTTGGCAGATTGATGTGACCTTAGCATAATTCATAATTCCTTCCTTCCTGTTCGGCCTCGCAGCTTCATATGCTGTGTCTTCTCTGGTCACTGCCCCTGTAACTCGCTTCAGCCTATTTATCTCAACTTCTAGGACCCTTATCTTGGCTACTGCAGTTTCGACTTGTGCCTCCCAATTCTTTGTCTCCCTTTTCCAACCTCCTTTCCAATTTCACAGAGAGCTCTTTCTCCATTTTTTCAGAAAGCTCTCCTAATTTTCTCTCCCACTCTTGTTCCATCCTTTTCCACTGTGTGTGTGTGTGTGTGTGTGTGTGTGTGGGTGTGTGTGTGCGTGTGTGGGTGTGTGGGTGTGTGTGTGTGTGGGTGTGTGTGTGAGGGTGTGTACTCACCTATTTGTGGTTGCAGGGGTCGAGTCTTAGCTCCTGGCCCTGGGTGGGTGTGTGTGAGGGTGTGAGGGTGTGTGTGTGTGGGTGTTGGTGTGTGTGTGTTTGTGTGTGTGTGTGGGTGTGCGTCCTTGTGTGTATGCATATATTTGTACGCTCGTGTGCACATGTCCGTGCGTGCACCCTCGTGTGTGTATGTGTGAGCGCGCGCGCTAGTGTGGGTGTATGAGCCACTTAATATTTGTATTTATAACTCATTACAATTGTGACCAGGTGTGGACGTATCAGTGGTTCATTACTTTGTAATTTGCTCATGACTGTAACCATGTATAGGAGTGAAGCTGATTCATCACCTCTGTAACTTGCCATGATTGTGACCAGATCTACCTGGAGTTCATTACCTTTGTAACTAGTTCAGCTATCATAACTTTCGGGTCCAGCCACTGGACCCATTATGTACCTTTGTAATCTTTTGACTACCGCCCACAGGATGGGTATGGGGTGCATAATAAACATATTAAACTAACTAAAAAAGATGCGTGCACAATGCCTGGCTTGTAAACACTGGCACACATGGGGCAGTTCAGGCCACACGTAGACACGTCTCGTACAAATCGCATCAAATACCGGGTTTTCGATCGGATACCGAGGCAAAATTTTTGCGTTAAAATGCATCGAATACCGGATTTATCGGATACCGATGCCATCGAATACCTGGGGTCCACTGTATATCCATGGGGAAGTGGAATAAGAATCTTTCCTCCGTAAGCCATGAGTGTTGTAAAAGTCAACTAAAATGCCGATAACAATGGGCTAGAAACCCCTTTTCCTGTAAAAATTACTAAAAAGAATAAGAAGAAGAAAATAGTCAAAGTGGGAAGTCTGAATGTGTGTGGATGTTG